AAGACCACTTTTTCTTAAGCACTTTTTAATGGCGTGACTTACTTCATTTGATATGAAAGGTAGCTTAAAGGGGATCTTACGTCCGAAATATTATTTTGGGAAACTACCCAACGTTTTCATCTAACCCGAGTGGCTTCTGCTTCGTAGCCATAGGAAATGGCAATTTTTCGTGCCAGGCTTCGCGATTCCTTCCTTTCCTCTTCTCCTGTACACCAAAATAATATTCTCCTTGAAGACGTAAGAACGATCTCCTTGAAGCTACCCTTCATATCAAATGAAGTAAGTCACGCCATTAAGAGGTGCTTAAGAAAAAGTGGTCTTGAAAATTATGTAACGATTATTGTCATCCCACCCAATACCCTACGACGCCAGTTAGTTCGAAACCGTCTCTATGATCGTTTGTGTAGCTCAGAAAACTGTATGATCTGTCCTAACGGACGAGACGGGGATTGCATGAGTTCAGGTATAATATACTTGATCTCATGTAATGCATGCGGCGAGGAATATATCGGGGAAACGGGTAGACCACTTTGTGTCCGCATAAAAGAACATCTAGATGGGAAAGCTAAAATCCGTTTAAACACCCCTCTAGGTACGCATAGGGCACAAAACCACAACGGTGATGACTTTGAAGTGAATGTGCGGATCCTAGCGCAGGAATCAAAAACATCAACGCGCAAAACTCTTGAGGCGTTTTGGATAAATTTCAAAAATCCAAAGATGAACCGGAAGGACGAATGCCTCACTATCACGCGTCACCTGGCGCCCTATTTCAAAATGATATTTTGACCCCGAGGTGTGTCTTGCCGGCGACCCCATGTGAACTACGTGTGGGCCAGTCCCGCACGTAACAACACGGTGAGTGGCCTTTCTGTTCAATATGGCGTCTATTTGAAAGTTGGATCTTCATTAATACTTTAACCTTTCTTTTCCACCGAATAATAAAAATATTCTAATATAAAATACTTCCAGGCTTTGAGGAAGGCGAAGTCGTCGAAACGTCAGCCATCGATCAATAACATCAAAAACAACGACAACGAAGATCTGTACCAACCTCGCGTCAGCTGAAGATCAGTTTATAAGATCACATAAATAAATATATAATATCGATTCTGATATTTCAAAGATTAGATGAACGCGTGGTATAGGAAAGAAACGAAGAAAAAGCATTATTGTTGGATGTTGTTTTTTTGTGCGTACATATTGCAATGTTGTAGCTCAGGGTTTGTTGGCATGAATGATTTATTTTGCTGTACTACCCTTCAACTACGTAGTAAGTGCAAAGTCGTGGTTCGATATCGTCTGAGCCAACGAAATATCCCATCTGTCAGGCGTCGGGAAATTTGTAGCAAACTTGCTCACAAGAAGGTTATTTCGGTTTAAAAAGACTAACAATAGCCTGTGGCGGGAATCTACCAAAATAGTAGCATGGGTATCGTAGAATTACCTGGAGAATCAACTTGGCTGGTATTCAGTGGCTTTCGTGTAAAAAAGACTAAAAATCCTCAAGCAACAGTCGGACCTACACGCAAATCCAAAAAGCTTCGTCAATGATGGAAACGTGAAACGAATCAGTCGAAGGAAGGACTGGAATCCAAGCAATCAGCCAATGTGAAAAAGTTATTGTTTTTCAATTCTTTAGCACAAAAATCTGACGCTTTTTAGCACATTTGTCGATTCTTCTATGGATCTGCTATGCAGCGCTGTTATGAATATATGTCTTCAACTGATCGGGCAGGCAGATACTTTCAACTACCCACGAGGGAAGGAACGGTTTGCTTTCGCTGTGGCGTTTTTTAAAGTTTTTATCCTCGTTATTTACACATAATTTAAGCAGTTGCACATTTTCTTCATGCTGTTTGTGCTCCCGATAATCACTGACTGATCTAAGCGGGGGCAGCATTATACCTGTTCATTCCGTCTTCGCTCTAAAGCCAACTAGCGGGCTCTGGTCGAATAAAAGATTTAGCAATAGGGCAAATCAAGAGCATTTAACCGAGGTTTTTCTAGATGGTTCACGAAGAGTTCACGCCTAGTAGTTCGTTGAGCTTTGCTTCCACAGACATACAAAATTATCAGCGTGCCATCCGCTTCTCACGTCTTTTGGCCAAAGCAACATAAGAGATGTAATTCGCTTCGACAAAAGTAGACCGATACACTCACATAAGGTTGTGGTCAAGTGAATAGGCAAAGTATTCTTTTCAATGGTTAAACGGCTCACAAGGGATTGTGGATAAGAGGCTCAAATTCAGTGCTTCCATCCTTAACCTCGAGCAATGAAGCCGTCATTTCCGGGCCACCAAATCTCATGTTGCAACTGATCTCATCAGTACCGGACCAAAGCTACGTATTCATGTTACTCCATGGAGACTACCGGATTCGGTCACTACCTATTCCGCATTCACTTCAGCAAACTGGATAAGAATTTCTGTCGTCACCAGGTAGTAGATAGGTCGTGTATAAAGTACAAGCAGCTGTTGGAATGCTTTACCTTTATGAGCAGCAAAGTAGTAAAGACACGACCAAATACCTTGAACTGCTTTTGAGAGGCTTAAAAATCTACGTACGCATCATTGATTAGTGGGTTTAACAGCTTGTATCACATCTGTTCAATAGGCAAGGAGTTGCTTGACAAGACAGAACAGAAACAAGGTAACTGCAAACGACTTTGACAGCTGGTGAAAAATACTTTCTTTGGAAGATTGTTATAGTTGCACAATTACAGGGAGAGGGAAAGCTGTTGGAAAGAGCTCAAAAAAGGTGCGTCTAATAAAATACCGTTAGGAATATCTCCAATTTTTTTGTTCATATCTGGTAAATGGTTGTATGAAACTCTCTTCCATTTTGTGAGTGATAAAAAGTAGTTTTAATTTTCATACTTGCTCTGAAAGGCGAAAATTTCACCCGTTTTTGCAAATTACGTGTCGGCATATCTTCAAAAGGAAAGCATTCCGAATTACGAATCTCTTGCTACATAGACCGTTTCCTAAGCTTCCATGGAGATCTTTGCAACGGACATCGAATATGTATCCGAAAGTACTCAACGAACTCGTCATGAAAGTCGTCTTGTCTCAGTTTAATTTAAATTCAGATGAAGTCTAGCCATTTCAGAAAACAGATCTTTCAAGAATTCTACTTTTTATGAAGGTGATCCTTCTTGTTGGTCCCTATTAAAATCTTTCCAGTGCCCTACTGTGAAACCCAGATGAGGATGAGAGGATTCAGCGCTGTTGAATTCCACTTCTTATGCATAGTAGATAGGATAAAGTTTTCTTGAAGACAACTAGCATGCGCAGTAGCGAGCTGGACTTTGTAGTTCAGATATTCAAAAAATGTTTCATCATCGAGAACCGGAAGAATACACCCTGCAGCCGGAGCAGTCACGTGACGAGAAGCGTTAATATAATATAAGTGAGAAAAGCTTTAGATGGAAGGCGAAAAGGATGTATACGAACTCGAAAACAATCATGTGCAACGTGATTGGATGTGTTTATCTGGGCATCTTCGATTATGGAAAGATGTGCTCAGACCTTCCCAGGAAATAACTACTGTAAACATAATTTCAATGGATAAATAAAGGATGAAACTCTTGGCGCTGGTCAATCCCTGACGGATATGCCATGCATTCGACTTCATTAGGCCCCGTTGGAGATAATTGAATGCATATTTTACCTCTACAATGACTAGCGGTGACCTACCAATGTATCGAATCAATGCTGCTATTTTCCAAGACAGTGTGGTAGCAATTTGCCAACCCCGGAGAGATGAAAGGCCTGGTGAGCCTTAGGTACGGGGATCGATCCCACGTGTATTAGAGGGACCCTCCGTCTCCTGCGCTACACGCGCTCTTTCGCGATTATAACAAGTTCACAGCGTGAGTGTATTCGAACAAGTGACTTTGCTTAGAAGAAAAAGAAATCATGTTCTCCACAAGTTACGTCCGTGGTTGCCGAGAAGTGCGGGTGAAATATTATTTAAGGTAGAAGCTCAAAATGAATAATTTGCCTTCGCTATGAGTCGATATATGTTGGTTTGGAACTGAAATGTTAAATGGTTTTCGGCCACATTTAAACTGCATTTGCATTGAGCATCCACTGAAATGAATGAGAGTCGCGAAGGTGTTCAGAGACTTATTCAAGTCAGTGGATCCGATGTTCTTCTTGGACTCAGCGATAATCGGACCTCTTATGGGTTTTGCTTCCTAAATTAGATTGATAATTGTCCCAAAATCCTGAGAAAGGATAATTGTTTTGGCTAATTTACATTCACTATGAAGGTCATTAGGAATTAACTGGAGGAAAACGTTCAGATTGGAACAGATCGGCGTGCTTATATGCGCGATTCTCATGGCATTCGCTAATGTCGGCATGGCGATGCAGGCACTGAACAATATCGCCGACGACACAGTCTGATTTTCTTTTTTGATTTATTCCATTTATAAGTGCTTTCTAGCTAGCCTACGAGGCAAGCTGGCAATAGAGGAAGAACTAAATTGTTTTATAACTTGAGAAAAAGAAAACGCCTAGAAAATGTTCCAGAGAAAACCAGAAGTATCGCTCACTACCACAGGAATCGTAGTAGTACAAACAGTACTGAAAGGCTTACTTTCGTGGGTTTGCTATCAGAAAGGAACTCCGTCGTCCATTGTTGTGGCCATGGATCTCAGGTTTATATCCCTTTCAATATGGTCCTATTCGTGCGACAGTGTACGTCTTAAGCAAATGATTGTAGGAATGATGTGGTGACTCGTATCTCTGCCATCGTTTTTGCTCAAGTTGGTGATCACTACTGCAGACTCGCCGATCCAATAGGAGCAATTGTTATTTGGTCTCTACGACTACAGAATTTGTAATGTAATTCGGAATGTAACGGACAGAATCATCAGTGGTAGTTGTCAGGAGGGAATCATATCGTAGATGGGTGCTTCATGCTCAGAAATTTTTGAACAAACAAATCTGTTAGAGGCAGGTTTTGAGGAAAGCTCGACAAAAAGTTGCCATATGGTGATTCGAAATCCGTTCTTAGCTTCTGAATTCGTGTTTATATCTTTTGGTTGTGCAGTCCAATGAGATGAATCTTGATAAAATTTTAAATTATATAAATTTAAAGAAATACGATTGATCGTTGAGTCTCTATTCGCTAGACTTCGAAACCGATATGAAAGTTACGCAACCACGATAGAGCGTTCACTGATTTTAGTTTTCACTCACTCACGATATAGTGATTCTTAATATTCTTATGATAGTCTTGCACTGAAGAGTAGACCAACTGTCTTTAAATACTCTATACACATTCAGCAATTTTATAACATTTTTTTCTATTTATTTATAAAATGACAGATTTAAAGATATTGATCCGTTCGTTCAGGTTCATCTACTAATGTGGGGTGTTCCTTAGTGTCAGCTTCGATGTACACTAGAAGTTTACCCTCCTAATGGGGTCATTCATGCTGGGAGAGAGTTCGACGTTTATTGCGAAGAAAGGTCAATTCTAGCAAACCAATGCGCCGAATTTTTGTAGAGGAAGTCAAGTTACCATGTCGCAACCTATGTCTTCCTAATCCACCATAACCTGCAGCGCCTGTCTGGGAATACCCTGGTGCGAGTTCATTAGCATTCCATGGCTAACAACTGCATTAACCAAGAATGCACTAACTGAATGGGAAACGTGCTAGGTACCGCATGACCGTTCATAATTATGGTTTATCCAGGTAGCAAACATAAAGCGATTTATTCTGATTAAGTCATTTTATTATCTTTCATGACATCCCCAATAAATAAATCGAAATTTGATCTAGAAAAACTTTTAGTTCTAATCTATCCTGGTATTTAGACAGCAATGAGCCTCGTACCACAATTTTTTTATCGATCCATTCTTGTTTCAGTAGTATGATCGCCATTTCATGGTTTAGCCATGTACTGGAAAATATTCCGCCACTCGTTGGACGTCGAGTCGAACAGGAACAACTGAGTCGAATTCTGAAGCTCGTCATTGACCACGATCCGAGGATACGGTGCTTAACTTTTTGTCACTGATAATAGTGGAGTAATATGCAGAATATGCTTCTTAAGGTGTCTGGATCATGTGATGGTGTACCACATAGGTGCAAAGGCTCTTGTCGAGTTGCACATCGTGATGGACGAGCGCCTGCCATTAAAGGTACTTTCTACGCCGTATAAACCAAACTTTTCGAAATTTTTCAAGCCCATTGATATTATTTGCTACTTCTCTGCAATCTATTTTTTTTGCTATTGCTAAGTTAAAGTAACAAAAAGCCTATACCAGCAAATTTAAACGAGGTTGTTAGAAATCTTTATCGTGGCTAACGTTTCGGCGGTTTCGACTTCATTAGAGCCATCGTGACCCGCGTCAAATGTCCACATCACTTGTTTTCTCTTGTAGTGTTGGCTTTCGTAACCATCACATCGAGACGGCTGTGGTAGAGTGGAGCACCGAACAACTGAAGTAGCGTCACTCGACACTGCCCTTTTACACAAGATTCTAGCTGCACTGAAGCGACCTGATTTCACCCGGCAGTTTTCCGGGATGCGGAACGGTCCTTGGTCGACTACTAATCAAAATTACTTCTTTCATTCTGACAGTGCATCCCTCACTTCATTTGTGCCGTGCTTCACTATACCCGATTCGTTTGCGTGCAACGATACGAACATTCAGATAGCAAAAGGAAACAACCCCAGTGGACTTGAATCGTGGTGGTTCTGATGAGGGTTAAGTTCCGATACATTGGCCGTAATAAAAATTTACATCAATCCTATGTAAGCTTATCAATAAACCGTGGCATCGATTATCTAACCCGGGGTTCAGCGATAGTCAATAGTGACATTGATAGAAAAACGTTCGGTGATTTTGATAGTGAGTGATCTTTCCTCTCGGTTTGATAAATATATCACGAAAGACGACCTCCGTATTATACCATACTCATTCAAATCTTAGCAATTTCCAATCCAGAATCGGTTCAGTATAAATATTTACTGGCACCCTGTTGTCCATTGGCCAAAAATTTTGTCGTCTTAGGTGACACATGACATCAGCCATCCCCTGGAAAAGAAGTTACAACGACTAGAATTCGTGGAACGAGCATTCGTACACTGTGACTACACCTGCGATGGCGATTAGTTCGCTTTTAATCGATGATTGGACGAACTCGTCGATAATATTCGATCCTAATTTCTTCTAACAAAGTCGATGACAGAATAAAGGAATTCAACAGTGGTGTTTCCTAGAACTAGCTGAGAGACAGGCGAAACGAAAGACCCGCATGGTGTGGTGGTGAACGCGTGACTCCACGGCAAAGACAATAACGCGTTCGTTCCCCACCGCAGATACCTGAGGTCCGGAGTTTTGCAAATATCTCAGCATTATAGTAGTTATATTTTACAAAATACCCTGTAGTTAAAAAGAGTAGGCATAAAAAGGTTAAGAAAGTGGTGTTTCCAGTAAAAAAAAAGTATACTACCTAAAACTGGCTGGACGCAGGCTGAGTGACCCCCATAATAACAAAACTCTTCTTTAGTAGCCATTGGTACAAGATTTCCTCATCCAAATGAAGCAAAAATCTTCATCGTAACCTGAAACCTATAATCTGAAGTTCCTTACCATTTTTCTTTTTATTTCCAGTGAATAAAAGAAAACACTCCTTTGGCACCAACTTTCTACTGCATTCCTCCTACTTTGACTACGAGTTGGTGAACTGATAAGAATTCTTACTGCAGAACCTTTAATATAGAGCGATCTGACATTCCAGCATATTTCCCAGCATCAGATACCTATGGGGACTTAGGTGCTAGAATTCTTATTCGTGGCACACTTAATTGTATTCTTATGGTTCTATTCTCTTTTTCAATTGCAAGTATGCGAAGCTAGCGACATCAGCTGTGATGGAACGTACCACATTTCACGTGTCGAATGGCAGGGTAGACACGAACGACAAGCCATTTTGGGCTTTCTGACGAAGGTGGACTCCAGGTAATGGATCCTTATTTCTGTTCTACAGGATACACATATATGACGTAGCTTGCATATTTATGTAGACAAATTTACGGATGCATATTTATATACATGTAGTTATGTCACAAGTTTATTCAACGAAAAAGGCTGAAATCAAACAAATGATGTGCAAGGTAGCTGGCTAGAAGTCACTTTCAATAAATAACCTCCTCGTTTACTCCGAGAGAGTCAGCAACTAACTTTGAGCATGCATTTTTACCCTTCCCACTCTTCCCAAGAGCTTGTCAATTTTCTCGTGGGTATTAAATGTCGGTTTATATCGCTTGGATTCAGATATCGGTAGCAATTTGCCGACCCCAGAAAATGAGAGATTGGCTAGGCGGCGGCAAGTTCGAACCAGCGAGCATGTGTGTATCGTATGGCATCTCTTCCTAATCGGCTTTATGGGCCGGTCGTAAGTATTAAACTCTAAAAACAGTAATAATGAGTGTAATTTCCGATTTCGAAACAAACCGATTTCTCCGAGCAAATAATGAGCTAGAAATAAAACAGAAAATTTCGGAAAAACTATCTCTGTTTACAACGCATGAGCACTTGCATCTGAATCCTGGCACTAGAGAAGGCAGTGGTGCTGACTTGGAATATTGATTAAGACACTGTCGTGCTGGATGAGGCGAGAAGACACCGCCATTGAACGTCGTTGATGATGCTGGAGAAGAGATGCTCGGCAGAACTTGTTAGAACAGAGGAGTCGACGGTGTTGGTGTTCTCGTCAACGTCGGCTTGCCTCTAAACGTCTATTGTTTGGAATAAATGACGGCCACGCTTACGACGAAATGATGTGAATTAACGCCGGTTTCGAGGAACTTTATCGCCTCGTGTCTTCAACGTCATCATTGGCTGCAGGACAGCTTTTGAAGAACTTTGCTCTGAGACTCATACGCTGTAGTTGAACAAACAAAGGGAAGGCTTGTAGTGAGTTTATCATAATATCGAAGTGCATTCATGATAATTCAGAAGTCAAGAAAGATGATCTGATGCGGCGCAAGGATGGAGCGGCATCGGCTTCGACTAGATTCCATCTTCTGCTCACAATGATGTGAATGATATAGCGTGTTGCGACTTCCACTCCAAGCAGTGATTAACCTTGTCCTTGAAGAAAGAATTTTCACGATCCATTTCCACGCCGAACATCATGCAGATTAAGCACGAATTAACAAAAATGTGATATTCTCGAAGTCCTCGAAAAGAGCACGGACCACCGCGTTATAGCCACTTATTATTACTATTGATTATTAGTACTATCAATTATGCTACTATTAATATTATGATTGTTTATTTGATTTATTTATTTGATTTGACTATTACATTTGCAACTATTGCTCATCCTTGCTTTTGATGATCATTCATTGTCACATGTCATTTTTTACCTCCGTTCTACGTTGAGACATTTTTATCCCCAGTTTCTAGCTGTATTTCGGCAGTCCCGTGCTGTGGTTGTACATTATAAGAAAGCTTGTCGAAACAGAACAAGTCTTTTATAACTCGCAACCGACTTTTATTAACCTCGGCATTGATCGGACAATTCTTTGTATTCTTGTTTTGTAAACACGAGGTGTTACTTTACTTCTTTATTTACGCCCAAGCTGACGTCCCGACGGATTTTGCCTTCCTCAGAGCCTGCCAAGGTCAAGTTGACCGCAATCTACTCAAGCAAACACCTCCATAAGCAAACAGCGAAAATGCTAAAACAAGATTTCAATCACGTTGAAAGCAGAGTAGCTTTTCCGCACACTCCTGCTTTCTATGAGCCTTCCACTGAATATGTCACATGGAGACCAACCGCATAGAGTTCACATGGAAGCGTAATGTGCCTCTCACATCAAAACAACAGTGTTAAATTCTTCCCGATATCACGTGTGATAATGAGGCATTCATCCCTGCGGTTTATTTTCGGATTCTTAGAATTAATCCAGAATGCCTCGAGAGTTTTGCGCGCTTCTGTTGTCGATTCCTGTGCGAGAATCGTAACCCCACATCAAAATGTTCCCCGTTATGTCCCTGTGCTCTCTCCGTTTTTTATACGAGCTTTTGTCACAAAAAATAATGACGTTTCACAGTAAGCCTCATCCACTGCACATTACAAAATCCCGCGTTCGTTAGCTTTGTCTGATATGTCTGTGTTTTACGGTAAGCTTTGATCAAACAGTTATCTGGAAAAGTTGAACTCAAACATACAACAAGGCGTCCATCACACGGTATGCTCACTCAAAATCATAAGGTCGAAATACGATAACCTAGCTACCAGTAAACCTGGTCGATGTCGTCCTGAAAGTATCCTAGTGGAAAGGTGACGAAACTACCGGGCGAATGATTCTGGTGATAGCCTGGAATTGAACGGATTTGTCAGAATATTATCGAAAGAAGTAATTTGTTCTCATCAGATAAATCGAATGCAGATTGTACTGGAATGCACACAATTCTGCAACAAAAATGATTTATTCAACTAATAAACGAATTTCAATGAATATTAAAGGATGAAGGATAACGCTCTGGGTGTTAATCAATAGTTGAGGGATGCGTCATGCATTCGACTTCACTAAGCATCGTTTGGAGATGAATGAATGCATATCTGGCCGCTAAAATGATCGCGCTGACCTACCGATGTATCGAGCGAGTGCAGTATCCTCTCAGTCAAGCTTGGTACCAATTCGTCGATCCCCAGAGGAATGGAAGGCTTGGTGGGCCATGGGCGTGGGGATTGATTCCAGGGTGTGTGTTGCAGGGCGCCTCTGACCACACGCGCCCTACCAATTAGTATTAGGCTGGTAAAATATGAGAACGGGAACGTATTCAACCCACTACATAAATGTATCGTGTAGACCCAAGCAAGTCTACTGACTCGTATTCTTGCAATTGTAACCCGTAAGGAGATGAGATGCATGTGAGATTCAGCCGCGCACGAAGCTGGTTTACTACTTTTCATTGACGCACTGAGTGATGGGCGAGCGCTGTTTTCGTTGCATCTTAAGCTCTTTCGCATGTCTGCACAACGTGTTTTCGCTTGTTCTTTGGACCAGATAGAAGTTTTCTGCTTTGTTAACAGTATTCTTCCAGTACGGTAGTGACTGCTACGGCAGCTGCTGCTCAGTTTTCGCCAGACGAAGACGCGATCGAGTACAATATAACAGGTCCAGTCTATAAAAGTTGAAAGGAACTACCTAAGAGTATCTCGTTTGACACAAATAAGAGTGAGATTCTGGAAATCAGCGCGAGATTCTTGATTACCGGAGAAAGGATTGGAGATCGAGAACGCCGCCGTACTCGCCCAAATGCAAAGAATGGATTCCGCATTGCACGACAAGAAAACGAGCGATCTGGTGGTCTGGATTCACCAGCAAACCTAACGAAAACATGATAATGTTTGGCTCCTATGAAGGAGCAGAACCCACCCAGCTGCTCTGGCGCGCTACAGAGTACGAGCGAATAGTCAACGACGACGGCGTAAATCAGTCAACGACTCGGCGTTTAGAGAGATCTACGATCTACTGGAAACGTTTGTAGTCAAAGGATGAATAAGCAGACCAACCTATCCAACTTTAAGTGAACGGAAATTTTTTCCTGAAATATCATGAATAGAATACTGGTTGAGATTAGTTCTATGGTGGTTCTATTTTACATCTTCCCTTGCCATGAAGAAAGAAGAGTCAGGGAATGCAAGTTAAAAAATCATTATACCATGAATACGTTCCATATTCTCAATTCCCCTTGTTAACCTCTTAGGCCAATCTCATTAAAAATTCGATAAGAAAACGGTAGTAAGAGTGCTCTACGACTTTGGAAATGACATTGTTTATTCACGTCAACGCGAATTCGCCAACAGAACATTTGTGTAAAATGAAAAGCACAGAACGATCAGCAAACAATCGTACGACATCTGAGAGGTGAAGACGAGCGCAGCCTTGCTGCCAGGATGCGAGCAAACACGGTGGCCCGCGCAACCGCAGCCCTGCCGGGCGGGCCGGCCGCCCGCTCGGCCCGCTAGGTCCACCCGACGGGTCCGAACCGGGCGGAGCGCTACGCCGCGTTCCTCCTTCGTTACTGCTGACCTGCTACCGACTGGGTTCTGTCTCCCACGACGACGGGTCGTCGTCCAATCATCAGCGTTC